GTGAATATGTACCTCTTTTTTCCCAAATTAAAAAAAGGGCTTACCAAAACAAAAATATTTTGAAATTTTAATTTTCCTAGACATATTAAAGAAAAAGATCTTTAAAAACTGTCTAAAAATAAAGGCAAGTCATTCTCAAGATGTTTTTAAGATATGGTAGTTAAAGAAAACTCTCCTCTAAAATCATTTCTTCAATTATCTGGAGAATCTGCAACTCTAAAAAAATAAAATTGTTCTTTAAATGCAATTTAGCCTTCTCCTTATTGTTTATTTTATAACAAAGAATCACTGCCTAAACCTTCCTTCTGAAAAACTTATGCACTCAAAAGATAATTACACTATATCACTTTTTAGTCTTCCTTTCCCCAAACTATACAATTCTAACTTCTTCAACCTTTTCTCACTTTGTCCACTCTCTCTTCATCTGATAATTTTGGCTAAATGTAAGGAAAAATTATCTAACAGCAGACTTGTCTCTCAGGAAGTACTGTGTCTCAGCTCACTGTGGAACATGGCCCAAACTATCTCCTATCATCAGTGTTATAATAGGAATTCAAACATATGTCACCAATCTTTTTTTATGTCATCAATCTTGTAAAGGGAAGTGAAATGATAGGTGGGTGATCAGGTAATCCGCAGGAATTTAACTAATCCTGGTTTTATGATACTCAGACTCCTAGCAACTTCTCTAGTTTTACTCTACTTCTCTTCAATTCTAATTTTCATTACTAGATATAATGTAAAAGCATACTGAGTATAATTCTTTGGAGTCCTCTGGAAAGGGTGGAAAAAGAACGACTCATATCTTTTCCTATAGGCAGAAGTAGCTATTGTGATATTGATACCACTAGATGTGATGTAGTGTTTAACTATTGTAGAGTTTGGAAATGCATTCAGAGGCACACAGTCCTTCCGCCAAGTCATTATCCTCTGTACTGCTCATAAGCCAGGACTACATCAACGGTTTCTGGGTTTTTTTAATTAATATGCATTTCCATTAAAAGGAATATAGCCTGAAATAGACTACAGAAGAACAGGAAAAAGCATTTGAAAAAGTATTGGAATCTGACTCAGTGTTTCGTTCTCTGGCTCTCTGTGGGCTCCAGTGAAACTTTCTAGAAATGCTCATGGTCAAGCCAATACTGAGATGTAGGAATACTGAGATGTAAAACACACGCCTTTTTTATTTTTATTTTTAATGCCATTTTATTATTATTTTTTTAGTAGTATATATGCATAATTTTTTTTTAACATTTTGTTTTTTAATTTCCCCCCTTCTCCCATCCCTTCTGGTAACCACTAGTCCATTGTCCATGTACCTAGGCCTTCTTTCTACTTACAATCTTTTCTGGATATAAGAATACAAATGACAGCTAGATAAAATAGATTAAGTGGATTCTGACAGATTCATTAGATAAGAGTCAATAGATTAGGTTAGGTAAGTGTAATAGACTGAATAATGGCTACCTATAGATACCAGGTCCTAGTCTCTGGAATCTGTAATGTTACAAGGAAAAAGAGTGTTTGCAGATGTGATTAAATTAATTTTCTCAACATGGGGAGATTATCCCAGATTATCTGGTGGGCACTAAATCCAATCACAACTTTCCTTATAAGAGAGAAGCAGTGAGAGATTTGATATACACAGAGAAGGTGATATAAAGAGGAAGGCAGAAACTAGAGTTATGTGGCCACAAGCCAGAATCCACCAGAAGATGGAAGGGGCAAGAAACAGATTCTCTCCTAAGCCTCTAGAGGGAATATGGCCCCAATGACACCTTGATTTCAGCCCAGTGATAATGATTAAAGGCTTCTGGCATCCAGAACTCTAAGAGAATAAATTTCTGTTGTTTTAAGCCACCAAGTAGTAATTTGTTACAGCACCCTCAGGACACCAATACAACAGGTTGTGTTATATAGTCTAGACTCAACAGATATAAGAACATTTTAAAATTATAGTTGCTTCCCTTAGAACAATTCACAGTTCTTTAGTTTCACATTAAATATAAATACAATATCTTAACACTTTATTATGTTATTCCTACCCATCAAGTATAAGTTCTCAGGAGTGGTCACAGGAATATTAACAAGTTTAATATCATCTTCATCTGCTTTATCCCAGGAATTAGAATTGCCGCAAGCACAACTATGACAAGAATTGACACTCTGGACCTAAAATTAAGATCAATAGAAGTTACTTCAAAATCTCTTTTGTGATAGTATTTTTCAATCTTTTATATTTAAAATTTATATAAATCCCATTCTTGGTAAAATAATCCATGTTAATGTCTCCCTGAGGAAATAAATCTCATTATATTCAATAAAGCTTGAGTACTAAGACCCTAAAAATTTTGAGCCTTTAACAAGTAGAATATTTTGAACATAAGTCAGTCATTTCCATTAAAAATCAAGCAGTTATTTCTATAGTTTACAATTTTATGAAGTATTTACTTATAAAGTTTATCCACACCTACTCTGATTTGAGGTAACCAGTGTTAATCTGAAAAGAAAAGGTTAAAAGTGAGAGGCAACAAGCATTCTATGAGATTCAAAAGAATAGCTATTCAGGTAGCACTGATTCAGGCAGAAGCCCAAATAGTGTTCCAATTAGGAGGCAAAGGCAAGGGGTATTTATGAGAAAAGGAAGGGAAACAATTATGTCAATGAACGAGAATAACTACATCAATGAAGGAAGGCATTTCCATAAGTGTGGATAAGCTACAAGTGACGCTAATTTTAAAGAATGTTCTTAATTTTCAATCTCATGGTCATCAGTCTGGTGCTCACAGTATCTGATTTCTTGTTATCTTAGCAAACAGTTGTTTGGGATACAATGCTGCAAGGTTATTTTGCCTTGTTTTAACATTCCAAAGGCTTGAAGCATAAGACGCACAAGGCAGTTCTTCTGGGATGGCAGTTCTGACTCAATTTTAAGGTGGCTCCATTTATATTAATTTTTACACTCGTTTATTTTCCATTTAGACTTTATTACAATGCTGATACTCTGCTAAATGATAACTAAAATTAAAAAGCCTCTATCATCTTCCCTTCTCTAGCAAAGTTCACTGAGCCTATCATTTGTCATCTTTATGCAGTTAATTCCCAAATCTCTAACTTCAGTTCTGTTCTCTTTTGAGAAATTTAGGCCCACATTTCCATGTGCCTATTTAGTGACTCCATTTGGCTTTTCTGCTAGCATCTCAAACAGATTATATTAAAAAAGGACAACAAAAACTCTTTTTCTTCCCATATTCACTAGTAGGACATACTTCTATCCCTGTAATTTCTCAAACTAGAAAGCAAGAAGTCGTGTTTAACTTCTCTTTCTTGTTACCAAGTTCTGGGGACTCTGTCCCCTCTCTTCCACTCTTGTTGTCATGACCCTCATTTAGGCATTCATTAAAAGGCAGAAATCTGGGTTTATAGACCTAGCAGTGGAATCACTAGGTCAGTTGATGCACGTAAAGTGATGCTAATGACAAGTGATGCTAAATACTTGTTATTCACACCATTATCGTAAAACTCCCTTTCTCTACTTCTTGTCAAGAACAACTTTAACTTTCATTTGAGAAAATTCAAAACGGAGGCACTTTTCTGACACAGAGGAAGTCCAAATTATAGAATGGACATATACTTCATTATCCTGCTCAGTTTCATAGAGGAATGAAAGCTGGAGGCCTTTGATCTAATTGTTCCTATCATAGAACAGCCTTTGAAAATTTACTATATTTTTAAGGCTTTAAGAATGGGCAGCTATATATTCCGAAAAACTATATAGAAGGCACAATACAAAATACGGTGTTCTATAAACTATTTTTCAAAATGAATATACACGATGCTAGAGGCATGCACACTCCCTGGAAGTATATAAGAAATTGTCGATGCTTGTCTCAAGAGAGGGTACTGAGAGGATCAGGAACACATCTTTATTGCAGCGGTCCCTAACCTTCTTGGCACCAGAGACCAATGCTCTTATGAGAATCTAATGCCTTATGATCTGAGGTGGAGCTGAGGCGGTGATGCTAGCGCTGGGGAGCGGCTGCAAATACAGATGAAGTTTCACTCACTCATCCACCACTCACTTCCTGCTGTACAGCATGGTTCCTAATGGGCCACTGACTGGTACTGATCCACAGCCCAGAGATTAGGGACCCCTGTTTTACTGTACATTTTTGCCTCTTCTTTAGTAGCAAGTATATATCCTATTTTTTTAAATAATTTTAAAATTACATTTAAACAAATACTAACTTCATTTCTCACTTGTCAATCAATACTATATTAATGTTGCAAAGAAAGAGGTGAGGACCACACTCGGCTTCAGCAAACCAAACACTTACTTAAGCAGACTCATCAAGTGATTTTTGTGAACTAGTACAAAGTCTAGATGGATGCGCCTTCCAACTTTTTGAAGAACATCTAGTTTTGAAGCAACATTTCCATATCACCAACATTTTCATAGGAACCCAGAGGACCACATCCCTTACTCAAAACACCTGGAAGCAAAATGGCTAAATATTTAGCAAAAGGATAATTTTACTTGCCTGAAGAAAACAGGCTCAGTCAGATTTTTAAAGTTTCTTTCTATACTAGACTATCTATAATCATATAATATTTAAACTAATAACAATAGATATATTAACAAATTTATAAGAATAATAAATTTTTTTCTTTACTTACAGAGGCCAAACTCTGTGCAGAGCCTGAGTATTTACTGAAAAGTCCTCCATTAGCATAATTATAAGACTGAGATCCTTTGTCTTTGACAGAACTTAAAGATAATGTCAAATTCTGTCTACTACTGGAACAACTTGAACCTACCAAACAAACATAAATATTACAAATACTAATAAGTCCAATGATAAATTTCAGGTAAAATATCAAAGTTTATGTTATGTTCATTCAGAAAGTTGATTTTAAAACACATTTCCCTAATTGCATAAGTTTTAAATGTACACCTTTATTAAAATCTATATATAATGTTTTTAACTGCTAAAATCTGCGTCTGAAAATAAAGAACAAAACATGCATCTAACTTATTGGGGCAGTTTTTGACGGTCTATTGTAATCAGTATAAAAATACTGGTAACTGTGAACCCATAAATTATAAATTTAACAAAACATAAGCACATCCTTCCCTGGATGACATCTAAACTTTATCTACATCACACTGTATTGTAATTAGTTTTTTATATATCTATCTCCCTTAACCAACTATCATTCATTTAGGGCAAACATTGTGTCTTAGTTTATCTTAATGCAGCTGTTAAGAAACTCTTCGATTCAAATATTGGCATTTATTAGTTATATGAACTTGAATAAGTCACTTAACTCTTCCATATCTCAATTTTCTTTATGTATAAGATGCTAACAATAATATAGTATTATAGTCCTAATTCACAGGATTCCTATAAAGTTTAAACAACACAGTGAATATATAGCATTTAGCACTGCACCTGAGATCTAATAAAATCTCAGTAAGACCCATCATTATTGTTGTAATGTTCACTGTACTAGGCACTACTTACTGTACTACTTACAGAGGCCAAACTCTGTGCAGAGCCTGAGTATTTACTGAAAAGTCCTTCATTAGCATAATTATAAGACTGAGATCCTTTGTCTTTGACAGAACTTCAAGATAATGTCAAATTCTGTCAAATGCACAAAGTAGTCATTAATTAAATGCCATACAAACAAATCACAAAAACATGATACACTAAATCATAAATTTAAAGATAATAAAAAATTTTTAAAATAAGATATCCAGCATACTCAAGAAATTATTTTCATTGATACAATTTAGCAGTAGGGACTATATTGTTAACCAAAAACTACAGATCCTTTAATGGCCAGCTATTCTACTTCTAAACTTAATAGACTATGAAAATAATCAGACAAGTACATGCAAAGCAAGAAGGACATCCTTAAGAAAACAACAGGGAAGCAATTAATTAGGGTTGATTTGTACAAATTTAACACTAAGTATACATTAAAAATGATTGCATGTGTCAATTATTTCTCAATAATACCGAAAAAATAAATAAGAAAATGGTAGCATAGAGATGTACTGATTGACACAGAAGGACTAATGAGTAGTCTCCCCCAACCAAGGATTACATTCCAAAACCCCCAGTGGATGCCTAAAACCATGGATAGTACTGAACCTTATATATACTGTTTTTTTCTTACACACACACACACACACACACACACACACACACACACACACTCTCTCTCTCTCTCTCTCTCTCTCTCTCTTTATGGCTTCGCTTTGGCATATCCAAATTGTCAGCATCATTATTCTTATGCTTTAGGCCCATGAAGTAAAATAAGGGTTACCTGAACACAAGCACTGTGATACCATGACAGTCAATCCACTAAATGAGATGACTACCAAATGATTAATGTGTAGGTAGTGTATACAGCATGGAAATGCTGGACAAAGGGATGATTCACGTCCCAGGCAGGATGAAGCAGCATACCATGAGACCTCGTCACACTACTTAATTTAATCAGCACATAATTTAAAATTTATGAATTTTTTACTTCTGGAACTTCCTATTTAATGTTTTCCAATGGTTGACTATGGGTAACTGAAATCGTGGAAAGCAAAACCACGGACAGCAGAGACCACTATATAACTATAATATATAATATTTCAAGATTATCTTTAAATGGAAATATAAATGGATAGATATATGCCAAAGTATTATCAGCAGTTATTTCTGGGTAGCAAAGTTTCCAGTGATTTTAATTTTTTCTGTTTGCTAATATTTTCTAATCTTTCTAAATTTAATCTGTATTACCAGTGAATATTAAAAGGAATTTTTAGAAGACTAAACCACTGCACTTCAGTTATGATTTACATATAAAATTTCCTTCGGACACTTAATTCAGCTATTTCTACATACCTTTGTCTGATGCTGCTCTTTTAGTGTATTCAAGTATGAGGTGCTCTGGTTCCCATGGTATTATTTTTCCTTTCTTCTTTCCACGTCTTCTTTTAAAGTGATGGGCCAGAAAAATTACAGATACAGCACTCACTGCAGTTACCACAAACAACTTTTTAGCTACCGGCGAAAATCTGATCTGAAAAAGATGCAGTTAGATTGAAAAAAAGTCTTTTATTTGTTCACTTAAAATAAAGACATAAGAACTAAAATTATTCTTAAGCTAACCTAGTTCTAAATACCATCCAGGTAATATTTTACTAATTTAATGCAGCTAGCCAAATTTAAATTTTAGAACCACCCCCCAAAAAAATGTAGTAATGTATTAACCACTGTTCTGAAGTTCTCAAGTAAATAATGTTACCCAGAATCAACAAGAGCATAAAATAATTCAACCCCATTAATATTTGTTGAACTAATGATTAATTCATACAACCAAACTAGTGTCAGAATCACAAGAGTTTTAATTATCAGAATGATTAAATTAGACTTTCTAAATGAATCAATTTTTTTAACTATCTGGAAATTTGGACAAACATACACTAACTCAATTTCTAAATACCATTTGAATAAGCCCTTTTATTCATGAAATAATCAACAGAAGTTCAGCATCTTACAATGTACCAGGACTGTGCTATGAAAATGAAAATTAAAATCTTATTATACTAATTCTATTCAGTAAGCATACAGTGAGTGAATGCCTTGCATTGAGCAGAAAGCACTGGGTATACAAAAGATATAGATCTTGCTTGTCTCAGGCAGTGTGCTAACTAATAGACAGATATATCCACAAAATAACTACAGTATAATGGGATAAATAAACTAGTATAAGTATAAACTAAGTATTAATATCAGAGGAGTTGCTAACTAAAGGCAACTTGTCTTGGGGGACAGACATTATTAAGCACCTAAAATGTAAAAGAACTCTAAAATAGAGCTACAGGAGCTACAGGATGTAGAGAGCCGGAAAGAGGGTCACCTTCGACCTTCCAAGAAAAAAGCCAGACAAATGGCAAGTTCTCAATTCTTCTTGAACCCATCAGAATGCTATAGGGTAATCAACTGGACTCCAAACTGAGACACAGGTATTTGCAGGGAGAGATAAGACATGCACGCTGGCATACAGGGACAAGACATATCAGTAAGAAGGGTTCAGCAAGTATGGTTGGAAAACTGGTGGAGACTGAGTATGCATTGGTGACAGAGAATGGAGTAACCTGGGGGTTGGAGGACTGGTAAGGTATGCTGCAAATATAGGAGGAATCAATACTTTTTGCAGGTTTTATCTTCACAAATCCCAGGTACTCACAGAAAACACTGCAAAAGTCATGAGAAAGTCTCTCTAATGGTGCACAACTGGGGAAGAGAAACAGCAGTTTCTGTGGAGGAGCATAAACTACATCAATACCTTCTCCATCACTACAAAGGAACAAAAGCCTCAAACTGTGAGATGGAGCTTTACTTTTAGAAGAAAATTTATATCATTAGATGCTTATATTAAGAAAAAGTATCAAATCTACAATCTGAGCTTTTGCCTTAAGAAACTAGAAAAAAGAGCAAATCCAATCCAAACCAAGCAGAAGATACTAAGTAATAAAGACTAAACAAATCAATGAAATGGAAAATCAAATCAATAACTCAAGAGCTGGGGTTTTTTCTTAAATCAATAAAACCTAGAGCCAGTTTGATTTTTTTAAAAAGAGCTAGAAAAGATACATATTCAAAAGCAGAAAAGAAAAAGTGATCAGCACTACAGATCACACAGATATGAAAAGGATAAAAAAGGATTACTATAAACAACTCTATGCCCATGAATTCTACAACTTAGATGAAATGGACCAATTCTTTGAAAGACATAAACCATCAAAATTTACCTAGAAAGAAAGAGATAACGTAATTACATAATTATATACCTAGTAAAGAAATTGACTATGTAATTAAAACCTAACAAAGAAAACTATAGGGCAATTTCTACAAAATATTTAAGGAAGAAATACCAACTCCATTGAAGGAGGAAAGGCTTTCCAATCATTTTATGAGGCTAGCATTACTACAAATATCAAAACCAAAGACATTATCAAAAAAAGAAAACAAAACTACAGACTATGTGTGGATAACTATTGAAGCTGGATGTCAGGTACACAGGAGTTAATTCTACTACTCTATTTTGTATATGCTTAAAATTTTCCAAAATGAAATTATTTTTAAAACTGAAAAACTGAATTAATATACACTTTTAAACTATAATGTAATAGAATAAAGACATTTATATATTATCATTTAAAAACACATAATCATCTGTGTAGAAAAAGCCTGTGAAACACAAAAAGCTACTGGAATAAGTGAGTTTAATAAAGCTGGAGGATATAAGATCACTATACAAAATCTGCATATTTTCATATACTAGTAACGAATAATTGGAAATTGAAATTTTAAAAGTACTATTCACAATAGTATCGTAAAAGATGAACTACTTAAGGATAAATGTAACAAAAGCTGTGAAAGACATGTACCCTGGAAGCTAGCAAACAATGCTGAGAGAAAAGAAAGAAAACCTAAATCAGTGCAAAGTTGTAACCTATTTATGGGTTGAAAGACTCAATAAAGACGTTAGTTATCCTCAAACTGATCTATAGATTCAATGTAATCCCAACGACAACCCTAGCAAGCTTTGTTTTATTTTTGTTGTTTTGGTAGAAATTGATAACTGATTCTAAAATTCATATGGATATGAAAAAGATAAGGATCTAGAAAAGTCAAAACAATTTTGAAAAAGAAAAAGTTGGAAGACTAAAATTACCTGATTTCACGACTTATTATAAAGCTACGATAAATAAGACAGTGTCACACTGGCATAAAGAGAGACAAACAGATCAATGACATAGGAGAGAGAATACAGAAATAGACCCACACATAAACAAATGACTACATTTGGCAAAGGTACAAAGGCAATTCAGTAGAGAAAGGATAGTCTTTTCAACAACTGGTGCTGGAAAAATATTGGTGAGCCATACACAATAAAATGGAACTTCAATCAATCCTTTGCATCATATATAATAATTAAATCACAGATCACAGACCTAAACATAAAACCTAAAACTATAAAAGTTCTAGACGAAAGCATAAGAAAAAATCACTTTGATCTTTGGTTAGCATGATATTTTTCTGAGATGACACCAAAAGCCTGATCCATTGGAAAAAAAAAAAAAAAAAGGAAAAGGTTGACAAGTTGGACTTCAGAATTAAAAGGTTCTTCTCTTTAAAAGGCACTGTTAAAAGAATGAAAAGACAATCTACAGACAAGAAGAAAATAGTTGCAAATCACATATATGATAAAGGAATTGTATCCAGGACATATAGGGAATTCTCAAAATTTAATTTAAAAGAATTTAAAAATGGGCAACAGCTCTGAACAAATCAACAAAGAAGATATAAGGGTGACAAATAAGCACATGAAAGCATGTTCAACATTACTGATCATAAGAGAAATGCAAATTAAAACAATGAGATTCCCCTATACACCTGTATCAGAATAGCTAAAATTTAAAAAACTGGCTATACCAATGGTACAACCACTTTGGAAGTCTGGCATTTTCTTAAAAATATTAAACATATATTTACCTTATGATTCAGCCATTTCAGTCCTAAGTATTTACCCACGAGAAATGAAAGCATATGTCACATATGAGGACTTGCACAGGAATTTTCTTAGCAGATTTATAATTTAAAAAAACAACAGGAAACAACCCAAATGTCCATCAACAGGTGAATAGGTGAACAAACTGGTACATTCATGCAACGTAATACTATTCTGTAATAAAAAGAATTAACTATTAATACATACAATATGTATTTATCTCAAAATGATTAGGCTGAGTAAAAAAAGCCAGACAAAAGAAAGTACATGCTTTATGATTCCATTTACATAAAACTCGAGCAAATGCAAACTAATCTGCAGTGACAAAAAGATCGGTGGCTTCTTGGGGAAATGTAGGGGAGGGGAGTTGGACAGGAAGGTGCAAAGAGAGAGATTTCAAAGGGAAATGAGAAATGTATGGAGACCATGGATATGTTCAATATCCTGATTGTGGTAAGGATATCATGAGTATACATATGTCAAAACTTAAACCGTATACTTTAAATATGTACAGTTTAATGTGTGTCAATCATAATTCGATAAAGCTGTTTAAAAAAAAAATAACATCTTGGTTCTATACATAAATCCAAAGGAATTGCTCATTTTCTGGTATACCAAATATGATTTACTTCTTCTTGCCATTAGCATACGGCTTCAGTGACTATGATCTAACAAAAAAATTTAAAACTATCCTTATTTTACTTTTCTTCCAAGTCCATTGAAATTTCTCTAAAACTATCGTGAAACATTAAAACTTTCCAACACTGCCTCAGATGTTTTCACAAATTATAAGAATTAGTCTTCAGTAATATCTCTATTACAGGCATTACCAAATTTTTATTTCTTTCCATGTTCATGTTTTTCCCTCTGGAACCATACCTCCCTCTAGAATCAGTGTTCATACCAACCAAATGAGAGCCAGAAAAAAATACAAGTTCCTTGAATTGGGATGCTAAAGAGCCAATAATAAAATAAATTCTAAAAATAGCACTATTAGGAACACCTTTGCATTATTTTATAAACTCTCATGACTTTATCATAAAAAATATTCATCAAATGTAAAGATTAGTATTTACTGCCTGAGTAAATAACAAAATTAAACCTCCACTAAAAAAAATGATCTATTAACACAGACCCAGTCACAGCTAAGTGATTATGTGTTCTTAAATTGTCAATTTACTATAGCCTCTAACTGAAGTTAGAGAACTATTAGGAAACATAAATACAAAATTAAAACTACTCAGACATATAATGTGCTTTACTAATATAAATTCAAATACAATATAAATTGATTCATTTTTATTAAGATCTAAATCCTGTTTATATGTTATATATTATTTTTACACAAAAGACCCATTAAAAATTATAGTCCTAATCTCATGAAAAAAGAAATATTTTCCATGACAAAAATATAGCAAATTTCCCACAGAGAGATGTTAATCATAAGTAATCTAGACAACACAAGATTTGAAGGTCTCTAATATTACTCCTGCCTATCACTTTTCATTTTGTTACTTTTTCCCCCAGAAGAAAGTCAATTACTTCCTCTAACATTGCCTGGAACACTGAAAATACATCTCAGATTCCCAAAGCTCAGAGGGGCTTTTTGAGGTGATATAGTCTATATCCTTACCTCCAGACAAGTGAAAACTAGACTCATGTCCTATTCATTCAACATGAATTGAGCACCAACTTATGGACCACACACACTGAGAATACAAAGAAGGGAATAAGATACTGTTCTTTGTGCTCAGATTTCACAATCCTCCCCACTCCATAACCTGATGCCATTGTTTAATGTTCTTGTCAAGTTTTTCCCCCTCATCTAATGTTCTCTGGAAACAGAATAGTTATTTAGTCACATACAAGTCTCCCACTTCAACAACTTTATTTCACGTTACTTAGCATAAATGTCTCACCAGAGCTAAACTGATCTATTCCTCAAACACAGTACTTACTACACACCTCTTTTTTTTTGTTGGTGGTGGTGGAGAAGGGGGTGATTTAAGTCTTATTGAGGTTCTAAGCTAAATAAGGGCAGGGACTATGTCTAGATCTTACTCAATACTTTATAGCTTGACTGAAGCACAGTCATGCTTAATAAATACATGTTGAATAAATCTCTCTAACTGGAACATACATATCACATGCTAACTGTAAACTTTGGACAAATAGAGATATTAATATCTTCCTTATAGGGTTGTTGTAATTTGTACATATATAAAATAATATCTGACGCATGGTAGACATTCGAAAAATGTGAGTTCTTAATATTTTAGCTTATTTTATTTTAACAAACATCTTAGTTTAAAATAATTTTAGATTAACAGAAAAGTTGCAAAGAATGTAAAGTTTCCATATCACTCAGGTTTTCTGATATTCATATCTTATGCAATCATAGTACTCTTCGTGAAAACTAAGAAATTAACATTAGTACAATATTATTAACTAAACTATAGATTTATTCTGATTTCATCAGGTTTTCCACTAATATTCTCTTCTATTCCAAGACCAATTCAGGATACCACACTGAATTTCGACAGATTTTTATTCTTAAGTGCTTAGTTAATTCTTAGTCTTTCTTACTTAACATTCTGAATTTGGAGAATCGACTCAACTTCTTACTTCTTCATGTGGTGGTTTCTAACTGAAAAACAGAGTCAATTTGTACTAACACGATACACAGTAATATACCAAAGTAATCATTAAGAAAACCATTCGAGCTAGAGAGACACAATTATTTTGTTTAGAGTATGTATTCATTAAATAAAAGAAAAAATACTTGGAAAATATATTATTCCTTAAAAGACACAAGGAAATAAAATAGGAGTTAATATTTATTGGGTTCTCACTCATTTTTACAGTGTGCCAGACAGTTTTTTTCCATCCCTTTTGTAGATAATAAGAATTGGCTTTAAGGTTAAGTAACTTGCCAAAGATCACACAATTCCGCAGTGTTGGAACATGAATCAAAATGCATCAGACAAGATGTGTTTAAATCCATGCATATTATGTATCTGTTGAAGTTACATCAGTCACAATGATGATATATCTCATTATGCAATTAATTATATAACTGAATTGCATCCAACATGGATTGTCAATTTTTGGAGGTTAAACTAATGAACAAAAAATTTCAAGTCTTTTTTCATAAAAAGTCAATCCAATTCTAATACCACAGAACTGTCCAAATAAGAATTCAGCTTTTCTTTGGTCCTTTCTTGGTCTTTTAATGCTATTCAAACTATAGCCTGCTCTCTTAGCACAGAGGTGAACAAACGTTTTCAAAAAGGCCAGGTAGTATTTTAGGCTTCTGGAACATATAGTCTCTACTGCAATCACTTGATTCTGCTGTTGTAATGCAAAAGCAGTCACAGATAATACATTAACAAATGTGTATATGCAATAATTGTGTAATAAAACTTTACTTACAAAAAAACAGGCCTTGATTAGGCCCATAGGCTGTGGTTCGCTGACCCACTTAGAGCATTCCATGGCATGGAATGAGTTTTGGATGCTATGTACCATGACTGAGAGTAAAAGATGTATCTTTAAGTTTACCTGCAATGATTCTTTATATTATTTTTTAAACATTCCATGGACCAAGTTGGACAATAGTCCTAGCCTCAGAAATTATTCCTAGGATTGAAAAGTAGGTGGTACAGTAGAATCAGTATGGTAAAGTATACAAAAATAATTCATTAAAAAAAATATATAAAATGTTAATGAAGTTTTTTTTTTATTTCTAGCCATGAAAAAACAGGCATTGTCAAATATTACTAGCGAAATTATGGGCTGATATAGCCAGTCTGGAAAGCAATTAACAATGTTAAAAAAAAAAAACTTTAAAATGTTCATAATACAAATTGCTCTTAAATCTATGAAAAGATGCTCAACCTAACATATAGCAGAAATAAAAGTTACAAGTATGGTGAAATACCATTCTCACCTATCAGTTGGCAAAAATCCCAAAATTTGGGGTACAAAACAAACAATACTACCTCTATGGAGGGCAATTTAGTAATATCTATCAAAATTCAAATACATATACTCTTGGACTTAGAAATCCAAAGTCTAAAAATGTGTCCTATACCTATACCTGTATAAATTGAACTATATCGAGCCTATTCACTATAGCATTATTTCTAACAGTACAAAATCAGAAACCTAAATGCCCATGTATAGAAATATCCTGTAGCTGTAGGAGTAAAAAAAAGAAAAAGCAGGTCTACATATATTAATATGGAAAGATATCCAGGAAATATTCTAAGTACCAAAAAAAAAAATAAATAAATAACAAGAACATAGGTAGTATGCTACCTTCTATAAGAGGAGAAAATAAGAATATATAACTGCTTTTGTTGATATTTGAATAAAGAAACCCTGTAAAATATTAAGTGAATGGGGACTGAGATAGAATAAAACATCTCCCTGTATTGTATGATTTTTGAACCATGTAAATGTATTAGCTATTCATATAATAAATTTTAAAGAATATTATTATTTTAGAATTATTTTGAGGATTAAATGAGTTTGTAAATGTTCCTAATTTAAAATATCTAGCACAAAAAAATTTAAGTCATTTAAATCATTTAATTAAAAATTAATTTAAATAAAAATTTAAAAAATAAATAAATAAAATAAAAAAAATAAAACCAAATAAAAAAAATAAAACCAAATTTTTCCTGGAAAAAAAAAAAAAATGTCTAGAACAGTGCTTGACACACAGTGGGTGTTGCAATATCTTGTTGCTGGTTTTTTTAAATGTCATTCAAGTGATATGCTAATATAAACAAATAAAAGGACAAATACCAAATAATTAGACTCAATATTTTCATCTCTAGGCATCTACCTTAATAAAAATCAAAGATTTATATATAAGTAATGAACTGTTGAAACAACCAAAAAAACATAAAAATAGAGAAACAGTCAATAAACTATAGTATATCTATATTCATAAAAAATTTTCAATGACAGGAAAATGCTCAAAATTTACAACTTAATAATTCTGAATGGGGGAGTTCTGGGGGTAGGGTTGATGACTGGGGTATAGAGAGGCATAAGCAGAAATAAAATACCTAAAGATAGGAAATAAACTTTTATAAAGAAATTGTTGCAATTTTTATTTTCTCTTTAATTCTTTTCCATATTTTTCAAATTTTATTTTAAGCATATAATCCTGAAAAAGGAAAGAAAGAGTTTCGGGATCAAAGAGGTATAAGTTCAAATCACATATCATATATGCAATTTTAAACAAATTAATTAAGCTCCTGAAGCCTTCTGATTTATAAAATGGAGATGATATCCAAATTCCAGGGTTATTTTGAGGATTAGAAACATTATATGTATAAAAACCTAAAAATGTCTTAAACATAGTGAACACTAAACAGTAACCACTATTATTCTCATATACCTTATCTCTGCAACATTTTTCCTAAATATGTAAAATTACACCATATTTCACCGACGTAAGATTCTATTCATTTTAAGATATAAGCAGCTTTTGGAAATGTTGAAATGTAAAAAACAATCATCTTGAATTTGATGAAACTCAGTGTAAGTTTAGTGTATTTTTATTTAATACAATGGAATGCAAAATGCATTAGAAGCAAACATTAAGAATAAAAGGGCTGTTACCATAGAAAATATACAAATGGATAATAAGCACATGAAAAGATGTTTGACGTCATTAATCATTAGGGATATGAATCAAAACCACAATGAGATACCAATTCACACCCACCAAGTGGCTACTATCAAAAAAACAGAAAATATTAAATGTTGGCAAGAATGTTAAGAAATCGGAAGCCTTGTACACTACTGGTAGAAATAAAAAATGGTACAGCCACTCAGACAGTAAGGCAGTTCCTCAGAAAATTAAAAATAGAATTACCATATGGTTCAGCAATTTCACTTCTAGGTATATACCCAAAAGAATTGAAAGCAGGGACTTGAATACATATTTGTGTAGTCATGTTCATAGCACCATTATTCACAACAGCCAAAAAGTGGAAGCAACCCAAGAGTCCAGTAATGGATGAAAGAACAAAATGTGGTGTATATATATATACAATCAAATGTTATTCAACCTGGAAAAAGAAGAAAATCTGGCACATATACAATATGGATGAACCTTGAGGACATTATGTTAGGTAAAATAAACCAATCACAAAAAAACAAATACTATATAATCCCACTTATGATGTACCTAGAGTAGCCAAATTCATAGAAAGAAAGGAGAATGAAGGTTTCAGGGACTGGTAGGAGGAAGTTGCTGTTTAATGGCTGTAGAGTTTCAGTTTTACAAGATGAAAGAGTTCTGGAGATTAGTTGTACGACAATGTGAATATACCTAATGCTACTGAATTGCACATTTAAAAATGGTTAAAATTATAACTGTAATGGATGGTAAATTCATTTAAAGTAGGAAGATTTTTTAAAGTAATAGAATCCCCTTTTAAGAGTTATATGATTTAAAAAATGAAATAAAAACCAAGTAAGTTTTAAATTACCTTAAACATTTCGAATGAACCATTTAAAACTTCAATTGATTTAAATACTGTAAACACAATGTGCTCTGAGCAATAAACTTATCATTAACTTCATATTAGTTTCTTTTTTTTTTTTTTTTACCTGGGAGAGAGAATAGTACCAAGACAGAGGAAGATCAAACACTCTTCGTGCTGCTGTCTTCAAGGAAAACTGTGATTCGCTTACTGTTTCTTCTGACATGACTCCTCTTCTAATCTTCATTAAATGAAACATAAAAACATATTAGCCACAAAGATGTCTGGTTACTCTACCAAATGGAAAATACAAATTAAAAATTTAACTCTATCAGCTTTTTGTTTTTGCAATTAATTATTCATGATACTACACTTACCTGAAGAAAATAACATTCAGAGCCAAATTCACTTGAGCTAAATGTTTATTAATAAACAAATTAATAATCACCAAAGTAGGCAAAAGAAAATGAGTTAGATTTGAACTTTAAGTTCAAGTAGTAAATTTTCCTTAGAAAACTATAGGTTCTAGATTCTCTCTTTTCCAGCTAAACGTTTCAGCTTTTACATAGTAATTTAAAATCTATTTCTTCCTACTATTTCCTTCAGATAACAGTGGGAGTGGATAAGGAGGGAGTAGATAAGGAGGCGTTACTGAAGGGAATCTGACTGGAATCATGACTCCTGGGGCTAGAAAAGAAACTCAGAGTTCACTGAATTTAAGAACTCATGCATTTATTCTCCTACTGTTCCATTTTAAAGATATTCAAAATGCCACATACATGCTATGAAATTCTGATATTGTTTTAATGCCTATTTTTATTGAAACTAGATAAAGAAAAACCAAATGTCTACAGATGAGGCAGCTATCATTCAGAGAGACCCTTAGAGGTAGCAGAACCTTGACAGAAACATAACGGTTCAGGATCTGGGTCTATGCTTTGTAGAGCCAGAAACCCAATTTTATCCATGTACCCAGCTAGACACATAGTAAACAAGTTTGCATAGAATTGATGTATAAATTAGTTTACAAATAAGGAAATATTCACAATAAGGAAATAATATTATCTAGTGAAAGAATGCTTTCACAATAAGGAAATAATATTATCTAGTGAAAGAATGCTTACGCTATCAAAACATATCCTCTGTGAAATAACAGATTGTAGAGAGCTGAATTAATAATAAGTAAAAAAAAGGCTGCCTGAGAAATATTTCATGCAGGCCAAGAAAAAGCTTGAGAACTGTCTCTGATGCACAAGAGAGTAGGCTTCTCCAGTATGTTTATGCCTATCAAATTTAATATTTCTTTTCCTTGGGAAACGCTGTATAAACATTACCCAAGAAAAAATAAAAATTACCAACAATCCTTATATGAAAGTTTATTTGCTATACTTTCTTTAAGTCCTTTATATTTCTCCATATATCTCTTCTTCTTGACCCCAGTAGACTACTCCTTTCTGTTAATACATCCTTTTTGTTCAGACAAGTATCAAAACCACTGACTGAGTAGTAGTTTCCTTCAAATCAAACACAGTAATACTTCTTAGTGTGGGTTACTGCTACTGCTAGCACTTATCTTATTCCCTATGAGTGACACAGTGTAAACTTAATTCTCCCTTACCCATATACCAATTACAATGCTTAAGCTCAGTATAATTAGTTCTAACTCAAGTATAGTACATTTATCCCAACCAAAAAATTGATATAGACATTATTGAGAAATACAAAGGAAACCATGAAGAAACAGTTAAACAAGTGAAAAATGGTCCTCTGGGGAATGAGACTAGGGGTGTTGAGAAACTGGGCAGGAAACCATTGCTTTTCACTGTAAGTCCTCTAATATTTGATTTTTTTTTATAAAGCGCCTACATGTATTAATTTTTTAAAATGCTACTTAAACACACACACACACACACACACACACACACATTTTTAACCCCCATCCCCATCCCCCAAACTGACTTCTTTTTGAGAAGGGTTTTTAGTAATTAGATACTGGGTCATCAAGCCATCTATGCTACTACATTAAAAAGAAAAAATACTGAGAGTAATTCACCCAAAGTGATTTTCTTCATGAAGAGGATTCCAAAATTTTAAGCAGAGGGTAAAGAAAATAAAAGCAAACACCTGAATTTGCTGAGGAGGTTTTCTTAAAAGAATTGTGACAAATCTTTAGTTTTGTACTCTAACTCATTACTTTTCATTTAAAATCACTGAGCAAGTGATTCCAAACATAATCATCAATAGGGTAACTTTAAAAAACCAGTCATTTCAGTTGCTTTCATAAACATCAATGAAAATAAACACGAAGGCAGTTTCGCGATTATTCACATTTGTACAAGGAGGTCTAAAACATTACCAAAAATATTGTACTATGTAATATTATTCGTTTCTCTCCATTCCAACCACTGAAGAGTTCAAAATAGAGTTACAGAGTTTGCTTCTTAAAACGCCCTAAAATTCTATTCTACCCTTGGATTTGTAATCCAAGAAAGTCTGAAACACCCCCAAAAGTTGACGTGAAGCATAAATCTATACAACCGAACTGAGAAGACACGCAGCAAAAATGCTTAATTGCAATGATAAAATAATAACGGTGTGTGCAAGTGCAAGATCTTTTGAGTCATCCTTCCGTAAAATAAATGTTGAACTTTACATAAGGGCTCCGACGCAACAATCCTCCTGATGCTAAAGCATCTTCAAAGAAAGCATAATCTTCCGTGAAAAACCCCTTCTAGCTCGAACCACTGGCATTCAAGCAAAAAACTGGACCACACCTACTGCCCTACCTCCATCGTAGGACCCCCACCCACCGCGCTCTCTTCTGAGGTCTTATTTTCCCTTTACCAAGAGAACAGGAAGTGGGGGTCCCTCTTGACTCCGCCGCCCTGCCGCTCACTTGGGGTCGAAACAGTCGCGAGTCCACCCTGATTCAGCGCTCCCCTTGCAGGCCTCCCTAGCGCGTGGGTGGTCCTCCTGCTTTCAGTTCTTCCACCCCGCACTCGGCGTCCAGAGGGCTATGGCCAGCGCTCAGACCTACACCCCACCCCGCCCCGCGCGCCGCCTCTGTCCACCCGGCCTCGTGACCCCATCCGCCCCAAGGCCGCCCCCTCCACCCGCATACTTGGCACTCCAGGCCAGGTGCGGCCAGCCCACGCCTGCTTGTCCCCCGCAGCCCAGCACTGAGAAGCCGCAGCCCGGCCGCCAGGGCGGAGTTCTTCCGGGGTCAGGAGTGGGAAGGTGGAAAGAGAGTGGCGGGGGCCTTGTAGCGTTTCTGCGTGAGGGGCTGCGTGTGAAGCAGCTCCCGCCATTTTTGTTTAGGGTGCAGGCTGTTCCCCGCTCGTATCCCCCCCATCTCCCCACCCCCAACCCCGAGCCTGCCAGAAGATTGCATCCTTTTATAATGCTGTCAAGAGCTAGTATCGTAGTTCGTAACCTTTTGGGTCTAGGACCATTCTGGAATCTGGCGAAAACTATGGGGACTTTCCTTCTCAAAAATGCACATAGACACGCGCATACATTATTAAAAGAAAAAAAAAAAACAAAACACAAATTCAGATGCCAAAAACCAATGCATAGATACTAGATTAAGAACTTTTACTATAGACCCTCGGCTCCTAAAAGAATGAATATTGAGAGGCATTCCAACCCTGTGTTGATGATGAAGTTATTGATTTCGATTCCTCTAGATTTTCAACATGTTTCCCACTGAAAATAGGCTACCAAGTAATTTGTCGACGTGGCCAAGTGTGAGAGGTTAGGCAGGGTGTTTACGGCTGAGGTTCTAATACACAGCAAACGTGTGTGTGTGTGTGTGTGTGTGTGTGTGTGTGTGTGTGTGTGTGTGTGTGTGTGTGTCTAAGGAGGGGGCTACAAAACAAGATGCTGTTTATATGTGCAGTCCTGAGCCAAAACATTCCATTCCATGAGAACTACAGATTTAAAAATTCCAATTCCTGAGCATACTTAAGGTGAAAAGTAAAAAAATTTTGTAAAGATAGTTAAAACATGAGAGCAGATATTACTATTCCTATCTAAAGAACAAAAATGAACAATTCTTTCTCTTAGTTTTCAAAATTCTCATTTAATCAAAATAGAAAATAAGGAGAATGACAATACCAATGTGATGTTACTAGATGAATAGTAACTAAAACTGCATAGACTGAGTTCTATGTGGAAATATTTTACATTTATAAAGTAAGTGGTGCTTTGGACACTTGAAGAGCCTGGTATTTGTAAGGCTATTTTTGTTTATTCCTCTATCTCCTCTCTGCTGCCTCCTCCTCATTTCCCACAACTTCCAAATATCCAGCCTAATGGGAAGAGTGGTAATAATGATGACTACCATTTAAAGCAACTTTCCTAAGAACATTATCTCCTTTAATTCTCACAATAAACATTATGAGACAGATATTATTACTTATTGGGTACAAATTTTACTCTTTAAGAGGAGAATAAGAAATGCCATATTTTATTAATTTTTTAAATCAGTGTAATTTGCTTCAAGTCTCCCTTCTCCTGGTTTGCCAGAATATTCAATCTTAGTCATGTTGGGGTATCAGTTAGGATGCTGTTAGCTAAAGAAAATAGAACAAATAGTGGTTTAAACCATAGGACAGGGAATTCCACATGGATACAGCAGCAGGTGGACGCAGTCTCATACTTGGACTTGATCTCTTTTGCTATGCTGGCCTGGAGGGAAAAATGGAGTTTGGATTAATTCTGAAATTTTGTCCCTCCTCCAGAAAACCAAAGCCCTCATGTAATGATCAGCAAACCAGGGAGTGGAGTTAACGTTGTAATATCAGTTGTTACTGCTGTCTCAATACTGAGGCAGTTGCTACCTCAACTATTAATGAATTTGGGGGGATCCTATGTGCATAGCATCAAAACAATGCTGTGGAGTCAGACTGCCAGAGTTTGAATGCTTTCTCTGCCACTTACTAAGTATGTGGTCTTAGGTGAGGTACTTATCCTCATAATGCCTCAGTTTCCTTATTGGGGTGTTGGGAAGATAAATGTAATAATAATTGTAAAGCACTAAGATTCTTATGTAAGTTTTAAACAGGTTACTTGTATTTCCATAGAATCTGAAGATAAAACTCTATTTCCATATAATTAGTTTCCTTTGTGATCCTATATATTTTGTTTTATACACATAGAAACATTACTTTGAAAAGGGGTCCGTAGGCTCTAAAGAATGTCAGCAGAGTCCATGATATCAAAAACATGGTTAAGAACTTAGAACAATCCTGGCAAATGTTAAAGATACATGGCATTTTAAGTGAGACTTTTCCATGTCCTTTGGCAGAAGCTCCGAAGCTGAGAAAAACAGATGCCAAGTGCCTTGAGTTTTCTAAAAAAGGATGCTGGACCATCAACACAGGATAACTAGAAGAATGTAAAGCCCATTTAGCAGTCCTCAGTCTTCAGGGACTGAAATGGAAGAATTTATCAAAGAAAACTAGAGAATGAAAATGCCTAGGAAACAGTTTTCTGGAATGCTATTAATTTTCCTTCTCCTTGAAGAGAGGAGAGTGCTTATCCCATCCTACCCCAACCTCAAGCCAAGCAAAGGAGCTTTAAAAAAATTCAGACATCGTGACCTCTGTGCCCTGTAGTTTATGTCACCTAGAAATGTCGAAAGGCAACAGACTATCTAAAGAGGCCTTTGATGACAGAGCAGAAAAAGACGGTTGCAGCAGAAATAGCCTGTACTTGGAATTTCAAAAGAAAAGTTTTTCTGTGGACCATATAAATGTCACAGAAGGTAGTCAGTCTTGAATTATCTTAAAAAGTTATATTTTCAAACCTAAAGCTAAGTAGATCATCTAAGTGGTTAGCTACACACACACACACACACACACACACACACACACACGTTAGGAAATGAAACAGAGAGAGGTCCTCAGCAAAAGGAGCGGTCATTGAGGAACCTACAAAAAGATTGTAAGAAAAGAGCCAGCATTTAAGAGTGGGCCGCATGCAGAAGGCACCTAAGTCAGGTTTAACTGCATTGATTGTGTATGTTTGATATTTTATTTAGGATATTTAGACTCGCTGCTCACTCCAACTGAGACAATATATGCCCAATGTATTTCATGAATTATTGGTAGAAATAGCTCTTATCAAGTAACAACATTAAGCCTGACCCAAGTCCAGCACTTTGAGGAGTCAAAAACAATTACATCACCTAAGTAGATGAATTCCTTCAGGTAATTCATATATCCAATTATCTTTTCCATTAACTTCTAAAACCTGGCAAAGTCCCCAGAAATAACTCAGATCCTTCTTTCAAATCTACACAACGCCATAGGGTTTTACTGGCTATTGTATCTTTGTTCTCATCACCCACCCAAAAGTATTTGACAGGACTAAACCAACCAAGGCATCTAGAATTCAGAGTATGGTTCTCGATGCTAATTTAAAACATTTATTTTATATACATCCAAATATTGCGGATTCAGTTCCTCAAAATTTTAAACATATGACTCCAATTCCACACCTAGCAAAGAGCCAAGAGAAATGAGAACATACATCCATGTAAAAACTTGTACATGAATGTGCATAGCAGCGTTCTTCATAATAGCTAAAACGTGAAAACAAACCAAACATTCCTTAGCTGATGAACTGATAAATAAAGTGTAGTATATCCACATATGGAAATTTATTTGGACATAAAATGGAACGAAGTACCAATACATGCTATGACATGCATGAACCTTGAAAACATGCTAAGAAGCCAGTCATAAGAGAGTATATATTGTAAGATTCTATTTATACAAAATATCCAGACTGGGCAAATCTATAGAGATGGAAAGTACATTGTGGTTTCCTCAGGCAGAAACTGTTGAGGGGAAATAGTGGTGACTGCTAAAGAGTATGGGACTTCTTTTTGGGTTGTGGGAATGTTCTAAACTAAGATTTTAATGTTGGTTGTGAAAATCTGTGAATATACTAAAAACTATTGAATTGTATACTTTAAATGTATGAATTGTACAGTGTGTGAGTTATATCTTAATAAAGCTGTTACCCCCACAAAATTATTATTGCCATTTCTTGCATCAAAACTGAGGCTTAAAGAGATTAAAAAATGGTAAAAGCTAGAGATCTGAGGCCAGAGAATAATCTAAAGCATCCTCTCCGTACACCACATCAGTAATTGTCAAAATACTGTGCAGTAAGAGGCATGCATTCTATTGGGAGGTATTTACATCAAAATATAATGTAAATAGTGAACGATAGAGGTTTTTTTTAGTAAGAGCTTAGGTAAATAAGTTTATTCTAAAGTTATGTTAACATAAAGAACAATAAAATTAAACCATATGGAAACAAGAGCTACTATTTTGCACATTTAGACATAACATTTCAGAAGTATAGAAAACCACGTGCTATTTCTAAACTTAATAAAATGAAAAGAGCTGCCTGCATCTGATGTGTATATATTTAAACGATGAACATTTTGAAAAGTATAGGAAAACTACTGTCTCCCAAGTTAGAAAATATATCTTACATTTCTTTCACATTTTCACATTCATTCATTGTTTTCAATAGCAGGTTTATCTATTTCCTAGTACATTGTCATGTACTATGCTGAATACTGGAAATACTGGGATGAGTAAGAAAAATTCCTGAGTATAGTTTGGTTCAGGAGATGGAAAAGTGAACAAATTATTGCAATGTATAAGACGGCCCTTGAACAACACCGATATATGTATTTTTAAAATACAGTTGGCCCTCTTCATGCCCAGGTTTTGCATCCCAACAGTATTTTTAACCAATAGTATTGTGTATCCATGATTGTGGAGAGCTGCCTGTATGCATTGTTCTATGCCATTTTATATAAGGGACTTGAACATCTGTGGATTCTCTATTCCCTCAGATACCGAAGAATGATTATAGTTAAGCTTTTGGGGAATCAAAAGTATGCACGGATTTTCAATTGTGCGGGGCATGTGGGCACTTCTAATTCTTTCGAGGGCCAACTGTAATGACATTACAATGTATAATTTATAATCAGCAATATAATATCACTAGAAAATATGCCAGAGAATATAAGGAAGGGCCTTTATGGCCTGAAAGAGTTGAAGAAAGCTTTTCCAAAGCAGTAACACTTGAAAGATGAGTGAAACTCACTTTTAAGAGAAA